ATTTTAATGGGAAGTGTGGGCCTGCTTTTGGCTGATGAGATAGGATTGATGTTGTTGTTGTTGTTGTGGTTGTGGTTGTTGTGTGCTTTCAAGTCATTTCAGACTTAGGTTGACCCTGAGTGAGGGCCAGGTAAATGACCTTGGAGGACTATATCTGGCCCCCGGGCCATAGTTTGAGGACTCCTGTTCTAGAACATGGCCATACAACCCGAAAAACTTACAACTAAGTAAGCCAGTTTCCAACTGGTTTAATACTGGTAGCCAGTAACAAAATCTTGCTACCAGTATTTATTTTTTTTAAAAAACTCTAAAATCAGGACAGTACATAAAGAGGAACACTCAAAAAGCAGGGGAATTCAAGGAAAGAAACAATCAAGGCCTACTAACACATCCCAACAAAGGATACCCTCAGGCAGCAATGAGCCAGCCCTTGAAACTCCAAGGCCATTAAATGCAAATCAAGGTGGCCAATTGAAACATTCACACTTGCCTCAAGCAGACAAGAGTTCTTTCTCCCACCCTGGACATTCCACAGATACATGAACCCAATTTTCCTAGTTACCAACAAACCTCACAACCTTTAAAGCCCTAATTGGGTTGTGTCCAGGTTATCTATATGATTGCCTTCTCCAGTATTTTCTACCCCAGACACTCAGGTTCTCTGGGAGAATTTACTCCAGTTATCCAAGACTAGGCTGGCAATAGATGTGGAAGAAAAGTCAGGAGAGAATGCTTCTGGAACATGGCCATACAGCCTGAAAAATGCACAGCAACCCAGTTCATCTACATACACTGTTGAGTTAAGGCAGTTTGGGACCAGTTGAACTAACAAGGCTATGGAATACTGGTAGTTGTAGTTTGGCACTCTTTGGCAGAGAAGGCGAAAGACCTTGCAAAACGACAACTCCCAAGATTCCATAGCCATGTCAGTCCAAGTGTATGTAGATACACCTGCAGTCAGGCACTCAATCCACTTGCACCAGGCATGGGCAAACTTGGGCCCTCCGGGTGTTTTGGACTTCAACTCCCACAATTCCTAACAGCCTACCGGCTGTTAGGAATTGTGGGAGTTGAAGTCCAAAACACCCGGAGGGCCCAAGTTTGCCCATGCCTGCTGGCTCTTTGACCCCAGGGGGAGGAGAAGGGAAGGAAGGGCAGAGCTGCGATTCAGGGGAGCGCCTCTGAGCATGTCCAGAGTGCCAACGCTGCTGTGGCTGCCTCTCTACCTAGGCGGGTATTTAGAGCCCCCTAAACGGGGATCAGAAGAAGGAAAGGGGGCAAAAGGGGTCACCGGAACGAGCCGAGGAGTCCTTCCAAGACGAGGCGGGATGAGAGCACCTTCACCTCCTCCTTTCCCCTTCGCCCAAGTCCCTCACTCCCTTACCTGCGCCTTCTCTCTTTCGCCTTCTCCTCCGCCGGAGTTTCTGCCTGGGGCGCCAGGGGGCTGCCTGGCTCTCCAGCGCCCGCTACAGGCGACCGCGGGAAGCGCAGCCGGCGGTCCCGAGAGGAGCTTTTTGACTAAAATAGGCAGCGGGCAGCGGCCGGAGGGCGAGGGAGGGGAGGCGCCCCACTGCGCAGGCGCAGCTCGCGTGGCTTTTCCCCAGCACCTCGACGGAGGGGACGCAAGGGGAAACATCCTGCTTCTTGGTGCATCTGCGCTGCAGAATTAATACAGCCCGACCCCACTTGAACTGCCCTATGCGATGGCATTCACATCTACTTGAAGATGTCTTTAATTTATTTTTTTATATTTATTTTGCTATTTTGATTATTAAGTTATATTTATGTTGTTTTCTGTTGTCTAATGTGTATAATAATAATAATAATAATAATAATAATAATAATAATCTTTATTTATATACCGCTCTATCTCCCCGAGGGGGACTCAGGGCGGTCTCCAAGTAACATCATCAAAACATACAGAGTAAACAGCATGACATAAAATTAACAAAACAACATAAGCATAAAATTATCACAATAACACCCATATATTAAAAATTATTTAAAGTTATCCTGATGTAAACTATTTGTATGGTTTTTCTTTCAGCATTGAAAGTTTGTGGTATTTGTTGGAAACCACCCTGAGTCCCTCTGGGGAGATCAGGGGGTCTATAAATAAAGTGTATTATCTTAGACAATGTGATGTATCGGTGAATAATGTGTGCAGATCCCAGTAAGGTGGCCTTTTGCAGCTGGCAGATGGTAATTTTGTCAGCGCCAATTGTGTTTAAGTGCAGGCCAAGGTCTTTAGGCACTGCACCCAGTGTGCCGATCAGCACTGGGACCACCTTTACTGGCTTGTGCCAGAGTCTTTGCAGTTTGATCTTTAAAGTGTATTATTAGTTATTGTATTATTACTATTTAAAGTGTATTATTATTTAAAGTGTATTATTATTATTACCATTATATACATACTACACAGCTAACAGGAGCCTCCGGTGGCGCAGTGGGTTAAAGCGCTGAAATGCTGAACTTGCAGACCGAAAGATTGCAGATTCGAATCCAGGGAGCTGCATGAGCTCCCGCTGTTAGTCCCAGCTTCCGCCAACCCAGCAGTTTGAAAACACGAAAATGTGAGTAGATCAATAGGTACTGCTCCGACAGGAAGGCAACGGCGCTCCATACAGTCATGCTGGCCACATGACCTTGGAATATACAATAATCTAATTAAAACCAGTTTTTACATACACACACACACACACACACACACACACAGAGTTCCATTTTATCCATATCGAAATAATTGTCAATGCTCATAAAGTCAACAATGGGGGTTAAAACTATTAAAATGTTAATCTGCCAGAGAAACGGAGTCTCATGCTATGCGTCAAAATGTTCTCTAGGAAAAGGATCCATGTATATAACTAATTCAAAGCCAATAAATAACCATTTGAAAGTATTGTGTCTTCATGACCATTTAAATATTTATAACAATAGCTAGTCTTTCTTCTATCATTTCAGATTGTTTTGCTATTTATCTCTTCCACTGTTTTCTACAAAAAGATGAAAATAAGACATCCTGCAGTATAAAAAAGAAGTAAAGCTTAATTCTCAATTAGTTCAGCTCCTTTATGTCCCAGGTGTTTTTAGATTTAAGACAAGGCTAATGAAGTTTTGGCTCCTTAGTTTTGGACTAAGGGCAGCCTCAGATAGGCCTTTATCCCAGGAGAATCCACATTTTAAAAACACAGATTTTCCTGAGGGCCTGTTCACACCCACCCCAGAAAGCATGTGCTTTCTGGAGTGGGTGTCCAATCGTTCTCCTGGGACTAGCCTGAGAGAACGTCTGGAGGCCCTAACCCCCTCTCTCGAAGCCCCCAGACCCCTCAGAAAAGTAATGAAAACTTACCTGGCCTTCATTACAGGCTTTGGCCAGCTCTCCCGGCGCGTAGAAATGACGTGAGAGGACAGCGGGGGGGGGGGGGGGGGGGGGGGGGTGTGAGGAAAATCGCTCCCCCCACCCCCCGCAGCATCATTTCTATGCATTGGGAGAGCTTGCCAAAGCCTGTAATGAAGGCCAGGTAAGTTTTCATTACTTTTCTAAGGGATCTGGGGGCTTTTGGGAAGGGGGTGGGTATTCCCCCAGTTTACCAGGCTTATGTAGCCTGGTAAACTGGGGGAATACTGTCTGGACTCCAGTAGTCTATAGTCCAGAACCGGAAATAGTGGGTTTATCCCGCGCCTTCCAAGAAGGCACAGAATAAACCCTCTATCTAATTAATTCGCTACAAACCAGAGTTTTCCTGGTTTGTACCTAATTAATTCGGGACTGTCCAGATCGTCGTCTGGGCAGCCCCTCCTTTATTACGGTAGATACCACAGTAAAAGTACTGTCTGGACGGGCCCTGAAACTCCTATTCTAATTTTCCATGTTGCCTAGAGCTTCTGCAAACTTGAATGGGGGAATTGCCACGTCCTAAGACTTTTTTGATCTAGGATCTATATCTGGCTGGATTCTATTAGGAATACCACAAGTTTTTACCTATGTATCTACAAATGGGTACTGCTTTCTCTCTCTCTCATACACGCACACACATATTCTGCAGATATATGTCTCTTTATTTGTATGTTTTTATTTATATTTGTATGTATTTATCTTTATTTGTACAGCCAGAAAAAGTTAAATAGCCTCTGTTTGTCTATTTCTGTTGTGTGTCTTTGACATTGAATGTTTGCCATATATGTGTACATTGTAATCCGCCCTGAGTCCCCTGCGGGGTGAGAAGGGCGGAATATAAATACTGTAAACAATATGTGCATGTCAGGTCAGAATGACCATCTGTTCCTCCATAACCATGAGCTTAAGTTTCTAGAATTTGATTTATGTGTTTAAGCATGGAAAAAAAGTGTAGCTGCAGAACAGACCTACCAGATATAAAAGCACTACAGAGATTTCCCTACTGAATGTGCCTTCTGGTCCTGACATTGCTAAAAAAAACTATTCCTAAAACTATACCATCAAGGTTGTAGGATTCAAAGAAATGACTGCCTTAGTATGGAATATTTATTTATTTACAAAGGAATGTTGCAACACTAAAGAGAATAATTAGGGAAACATGTTGGTAGCATGAGCACAAAGGTGGTATCTAGGACCCCATTGAGAGTAACATATAAAGCTGCAATATATGGTCAGTGTAGATTTACATAATGCATTTCAATGCAATTAAACTGCATTAAATGAGCCTACACTGAATATATGCTGTAATACTGCTCAACCTGCATTTTATGGATGTGTAGACGAGGCTTACATTTATCAAAATAATCTGGATTGTTCCCCCGAGAACTGCCCTGATGTAGCATGGAAGCAGTGTAAGAGCCCTTTTGGTTCCCAGACTGCCAGCCAGACTAAGAGAATACTGGAGTTGCTACTGTTATATCGGTGGCCAAAAGCAACTCCCAGCAGAGCCATGATGCTTCTTATGAGGTCACAACACAATTCCATTTTCCCTTGTGCCAGGTGAAGGGCTGCAGGCAATACTTCTACTGCAAAACAACTGTACTTTTGATGGACTCCCCACAGCAATTGCAAGGCGAGTCTGTTTTATTTGGTCCATGTAGACACAATCCAAGTCCACTGTATCATATATATCATATAAAACTATTCCAAAGTACTACGAAATTAAATGTTAGATTACAATATTTGTATTTTTACATCATTAATTGAAAAATTCAGCATAGAAAATTAGAACTCTGGGATATTTTTTTCACTGTGATATATTATTTTAAAGCTTGACCTGAGAATAATGAACAGTAAAAATGGCATTGCAACAGAACTTTAATCTTGTTCCAGCAATTATTTCTTCATATCACTGATACAGTGATGTAAACGCAGCATTCACATTCTGAATTGATCCACTGATGGCTCAAATTCTACTGAATAACAGTAGAATGTGAGTACCTGGTAAGAAAATAAAACAATCCAAAACTGGCTTTTCAAGCATATATTTTGAACAAATGGTAAAATCATTACGAGCTAAGCCAGGCTGGAGAAGATATGGCCCTCCAGATGTGCAGACTGCAAGTCCCATCAACTCCAGCTAGCCAAGCAAATTTCAATGTCATCTGGAGGGCACACACTCCTCACACCTGAAATGAATAAAAAACATAGGCCAAGATTTTGCAGTTAGAGAAGTTACTATAACCATCTAGGGCCATTCTACACATGCCCTAAAACCTGTGATGTGTCAAATGATGCTTCAGGTGAACCCGAATTAATTCAAAGTAAACTGGGATTTCCTAGTTTATTCCAGATTCCAGGCGAAACATCAGGAGACAATGCTTCTAGAACATGGCCATACAGCCCAAAAAGCCTACAGCAACCCAATGATCCAGCCATGAAAACCTTTGACAATACATATTCCAGATTAATTTGATACCTCAAGAGATCCGGACCTTACTGAAAGGTCTGGATCTGTTGAGGTGCTGGACCTGTGGGGGTGGTCTCCCAGGATCACATTCTGCAATCCCGGGGTCAATCCTCACAGCAGTCCTGGTTCTTTGGGCTCCTGGAGACCAAAGGGGTGGGATGGCACCCCCACCCTGCCCTCCCACCCCATTTCCCAAAGAAAACCTACTTGAGGGGCCAGTGTTTAGGACTTGAAAGATCCTATTTCTAGTCATAACTAGAAATTGAGTGATCTTGAGTCCATCACTATCTACTTCATGAGGTTGTTGTAAAGATAAAGTAGGTAGGAGGACAGCCATATTTGCCGCCTTCAACTCAATGGAGAAAAGGCAGAATGTCAATTTAATCATTAATAAAATAAACAAAATAGAAAGAAATCTCATCCAAATTGCAAAGAACAAATCAGACATTTCAATGTATACAAGGCATTTCAAGATTTGAGTGTCTGACCGGTTGGTAGCTCAATCCTCCATGTTAACAAACTGGATTTGAATATGAGAAGGGTTTCCAAAGAGTGCAATTGAAGGGAGGACCTGCTATTTATGGTAAATTAGGCCACTAGATTTTTAGGATGCTCTTCAAATTCCCATTTCGGTGCTTCTAATCCCTTTCCAGTAGTGTGTAATTGTGGAACAAATCTAGTGGGGACCAAATGAATATCTCCACTAATTCATGTGGTATCATTTGTTTACATTGGGATAACTGTCCCAATATATATCTCTGGCTTCATGATATTATAATAGCATAAACCTAGATAATTGTGATAAACTTAAAACGTTTTAGACATACTACTCAAAGTACATGGATATTTTAATCTGATGTTGTACCACAGCTAACCTTCAATTCTGCAACATCCAACATTCACTTGCTATGATTTCATGTATCTTATAATCAAAAGGCGTGACACTGGATTTAAACCTTGAGGGGAATCAATATTTTAGTTACTAGCTCAAATGGGGAGAATGATCCCCCCTGCAAAAAAAGCTGTTTCAAGCTGAGAAAAATTAACAGTGAAACCAAATCCCCCTATGCAACAGATTAACAAGGATGACTTCCTATCTTTGAATAGTTTGCTCTCATACTCATTTAATAGCACCAGTTTCCAAGCCTACACATGGGGATAATTTATTGTACCAAGCTGTGCATATGTAGGGTGTAGCTTCAGTGGCAGCCCCTCCACAAGAATTCTGTCACTCATGGAATTTTCTTTCAGTTCCCACATGTTTAACCTTGCAGAGAGTGAGATGGTGGAAATCATTCACACCTAGGTAGCTCTTGTTTGTTGTGTTTGCATTTCCTTGGTAATTTTGATTGCCTCTTTTCTTTGGATGCCTAACTGCAGTTCCAAATCCTCCTCTTGAACTTACTGTAATACTCAACATTTGGGGACTGAAGGGAAATGTTTTGGAAGGGGGCAGAATTCCTATTGGGTAAAGAGGAAAGTGCCTTCATTTTCCACACTGCTGGTAACCACACTGTTATATGTCTGTATGTAAAATGGAAGAAGCACCATTGCCTGTAATATAATATTATCAATTCAGTTCACTTGTTCAGATATTTTTTGTGGTGAAAGCTTCCAAGCCTATTTTGACTACAGAATTGAGTGTATACAACATAGGAAAGAAGGTATTGATCACTCAACAACCACCTGTGGTCTCTTTCTATTAAACATACTAGGACAATATCCAACAATGTTATCTCTACTGATGAAACTCCTTCACTTGGTAACATCACAAGTGATGATCTTTCCTTCACAATGTATGGTATAACCCCTGTTACTGTGGGGGATAGGTTCCCAAACTTTGCTTAGATATGTACTGTAAAGCCAAAAAAAAAATTCCAACAGAAGATGATTTCAGGAATAGGGATGGCATTAGTAACAAATTGATTATAGGCTGCTATTGCCCTACTTTCTGTCAGAGCAGTCATCCTCAAACTCTAATCCTCCAAGGTGTTTTGAAAGTCAACCCTCAGAAGTCCCAGATGCCTTGTCCAATGATCAGAGATTCTGGGTGCTGAAGTCAAAAACAGCAAAGGCCAGTTTGAGAAACATTGGACTATAGTGACTGAACTGTTTTGCTCTGCTAGATAGGTTACAGCAATTAAAGCGATTGACACACCCTTTACAGTTGATATAACGACACTGTTCTCTTTTGTTTTCATGTATAGCTCATCTGCTCTTTTCCAAGAGAAATCTAGTCATAATCTCTTGAGTTATACAAGAATGAAATTATTGTTAGACTTCCCCCAAGCTTTACAAAATTGTGCAGCCTCCTGTTCCACGTGTCCGCTTCTGTAAGACACTGCGTGTTGAGAAGACCAAATTTATGCATTGTAATTATAAAGTAACAAGTGAACCAAAATTACTTTTTGAAGATGGTTTGCTTGCTGCTCTTTTCTAAGATAAAGCTGCTCGCATAATTCATGATGACAAGGAGGCCTCAATAAACATGAAGAAGAGCTCTGCGCAAATGTCATTTTTGAAAGCACAATACACAAGGCACCACAATTACAACAAAGCTTTATCTAATAATGATTCATATCTGTCCTCAACCCACCTCCAAAGTAATAAGATGAGCAGAAGTCAATAAAACAATCAGGCAAGATGTGCAAACTGCTGGTTCTTAGCGCTGGGGGGGGGGGGAGTCAATCTAGATAGTTGGGTGTTTCTGCTAGAAAACAAGTAGGGGCTTCTACTTCAAAAGTTGGTTTTATTATAATGTTTAGATTGCTTTTTTAATGATGCCAAACATTTTATTAATCAATGTTGAGAGTGACGAAGTCAATAATCAGTCATTTTTGTTGTTAAGTGTTAAAGTTTATGATATTTGTTAATGTTGTCTTGAATTGTTCTGTAACTGGCCTCCAGGTCGTCTTTTAGGTGTATCTGGTGTTGATATATGATAGAAATTTGGTAAACGGATGTCATAGCGAAATCCTTTGCTCAGGATCACTCTGTCATTCAAAGCATAAAGCTTCTCAGCAATATCATTCCCAATGAGAATTGAAAAGAGACGTGCAATGAATCGGTGTTTCGCAAAGAGTAAATACAACTTTTTTCTCCTCCAGGTTATGTATCGACAGTCTGTTTCTGCTGTGAGAGTTACCTGAAAGACACATTCCAGAAAAAAAGAAGAGTGTGTGAGAGAGATAAGAATCTGCTTGTTCTGAGATTTATAAATAATATTTCCTTTGTCCCGACTTTCCTCCTTTATGTTTTACAAAGGCACACATAGATTCAGGTAGAAAACTGAATTGATTTGTTTAAACTAGTATTCCAAGAGACCAGGATTCAAAGCCTCTGCGTTCCAGTCATAATAATTCCCTTTCAATAAATCTCTCACTTTCCTATTCCATGGCTGAAAAGTAAAGAAAGACAGGTACTTGCCCCTCCCCTACCTGAAAAATGCCTTCTTCTGTGGGTCTCAATGAATCCCATTCAGGTGAATCCAGAAAATGAAGTGGAAAAATGTAATGCAGAAATTCACCATCCACTGTCACTCTGATCCTAATAAAAAAGAGCAACAAAACAATTAAAACAAGGAAAGACAAACTAATCCTGGAGGGTCTGTTTCTATAAAAAGAAAGGCCCCACAATGGCCAGGCAAGGAGAAGGTTTATTTTCCACACAGTGATGTTCTTTCAAATAAGGGAGCTTCTTGCTGATGCTGGGCACATACCAGGCATTCTGCAAGGTGTCACTAAGAGAAGATACAAAATGTATCCCACATAATTTAGAGCACTGCTTCTCAAAGTAGTGGTTCATAGGCTACAGACAACTGGAGTATGTTATCTTTGGGAGGTCCGTGCACCATTGTAACTGGCACACTAAGTATTTGACAATCTATCATGATACAACATTTTAAGTCCCGGGAGTGGCCATCAATTACTGAGTATTTAAGATTATTTGGCAGCTACTGAAGATGGTCTTTCAACTTCCATATCTAATCTTTGTATCAATTGCAAGCACAATGGATAATATCTATCTATCTATCTATCTATCTATCTATCTATCTATCTATCTATCTATCTATCTATCTATCATATATTTCATTTATATGCTTCCTTTCTCCAAGAATAGCTTACAAAATGGATCAGCTAAAGCCAGTTCAATAACATTTTAAACACAATTGAAACCACATTATAAAGTGTACAGTATAAAAACATGAAAAAGCATGCAAAGGTTATAATAATAATAATAATAATAATAATAATAATAATAACAATAATAATAATAATTTATTCTTATATCCCACCATAATCTACAATAACAGTTACTGACATGTAGTATAGCAGCTACCCACCCACAGTTACAGATTTAGAACTTATAGATTCATGGCTGCTCTGTATTCACAAAGATTAAATATTAGCAATCATGGCACTGTTTGTCCCCTAATCCAAACAGTTACAAGCCACATCGAGTGATATGACAAATGTGCTGCTGATCAGTAGTAACTGGACATTTTAGCAGCGTTTTGCCAGTAAGCAAGGCTACAACAATGCCTTGGAAAGGGATCCTGCTTCTAATTGTCACAGATTCATTTGATGATAGGAGAGCTCTGGAAACATCATCCTGCTTCAACACAATTGGTAGCAGAACAGACCTCTCTAGGCCAGAGTAGCTGCTAGCTGTTAAGGTAGGCCAGGATTCACAACTAAGTGGGGAATGTAGGCTCTCAACCAGAAACATTCCTTTAAATTCATGTGTTTCATAATATTTTTAATACTCTTCTCAGTGGTTTTCGAATGTCCATTTCTGAGCACAGAAAAGATACAGAACAGGGTCTTTTTTTATTAAACATGCCCAGGAATATTTTTCCAAGCGTGATTGATGCAGGCAACACCCTGTACATCAGCAAGAGAGCTCATTATCTAACACAGATGAGGCTGACTTTGAACCAAGAGTCAGGAAAAAAAATGGACTATGTCTCCTTCAATCCCCCAATCAGCATTGCCACTAAGGGTCTATCTAGCGTACACATGAATATATATTTCTCAAATCCCAGGTGTTAAAGGACACCAAAGTAGAACAAAGTAGAACAGTGGTTTTCAGCGTGTGGGTCCCCAGATGTTTTGGCTTTCAACTCCCAGAAATCCTAATAGCTGGTAAACTGGCTGGGATTTCTGGGAATTGTAGGCCAAAACACCTGGGAACCCACAAATCGAGAACCACTGGAGTAGAACATTTTTGCACTACAGCCATCCTTAAACCAGAATTCTTAAGTCACTGTTAACTCCCATCTTCCTCAGGCAGTGGGTATTATGTTAACTGAAGGATATGGACATTATAAATGAATGATGCATGTTTCAATGGTCAGAATCCTATTAGTGTGTTACACTAGCAACTGAAATTTTCCAAAATTACACAATATTTATTTATTTATTTATTTGCGGCATTTACATGCCACCCTTCTCACCCCAAAGGGGACTCAGAGCAGCTTACAAGATATATACAATATATATTCTTAGCAAAGTACAGTATCAGTATTATATACTACTATATTGTGCTATACTATTATATTGTAATATTATTAGTAATATTACATGTAATATAAATTATATAATTATAATATTGTATTATTATTATTATAATTATTATTATTATTAATAGTAGTATATTGTATTTAATACAATAGCAGTGAAACAAGGTAAACATAACTCTGGCTCCAAGTGCCTACTTCTTCAGTACCTTCTTTTATGGCCATTATTTAATAATTTATTTATTATAATTATTTATACCCCGATTTATCTCTCTCAAAAGAGACTCAGGCGGCTTAACTTAAAAGCATTAGCATATAATTTAAAATATACAAATATGCAAAAATTAAAATACTCTGTGATCTTTTCTGGCCCTGCCTCTATCAACTATTCTGTTATGGCATAAGAGTTTTAATTTCAGTTTCTGGTTTAAGCCCAAGATAAGGTGACATCCCAAAAGGAAGACACAACTGAAAATAGGATAATGGGGTCATTTATTAGCGATTTATTGCTTTTTAATTAATGCTTTATGTACTGTTTTAATTAATGCTTTATATATTTTAATGGTTGTTGTATTATTGTAATTGTTTATTTGTAGTGGCATCGAATCACTGCCAAAATGTAAGCCATCCTGAGTCCCCCTTCAGGGATACAAACAAACAAACAAACAAACAAATAAAGCCTCTTAGTTAAAATCAGGAAGATATATATACAATCTTTTTTTAAGAAACACATAGGTTTTGTCCCAAAGATAAATGGAGGACTAGAAATATTGAATCTCCTGGGCAGAAAAGAAGCCCCAATTCTGTGACTTAAATTATACATGTTTAGGTAGATGTCCTCAAATGTTACATTACACATGAATAAAAAGAAAAAATACCAAATATATTGTAAATCTAAATCCCTACCCAGCTGCCTCCATCTTTCATTCTTCTGAGCTTTCAATCTTCTGCACATTTTCCATTATTATAGATGCCTCATTTACTACAGATGCATGTTTATTACGAGAAAAGAAATGGGTAAAGTTGTTACTTTTGGGAAGATAAACCTTGCAACAAGTTTTAAGAGTTCATTATTTTACACGGATTTGGAGAATTCAAATTAGAACAGCTACTTTGATACTAGAAATGTAGACATCTACAGTGTGAGAATGTTGAACCTACAATAGTGGAAACAGGAGAAAACAAGGCAGGGAGAAAGCAAAAAGTGTGACATTCTTGGGTATATTTCTGTTTTTACATTAGAAGCAGGAACCAGAGTGATACAAACCTTCCTGACAGAAGCAAAGAAAGTTTATCAATTGGTGTTTTGCCTTGCATGGCGTAACAGTGCTCTTTCTCCAGCGTAATGACCTCTTCATCACAGCACAAGACAATCTTCCTGAAAACAGTCAGTGATATTCCCAGAGGCTGGAACAGAGCACTGTAGAGCTCCTGGAATTCTTGGTCAAAGGCCACACTCCGGAGTTGGTAGGTTACATAAATAAACTGTACGAAGCATACCACAAACAGGATGAAATTCCAGGAGAAAATATCAGCTGCACAGACATCTAGCCAAGACCAGACAGATGAGCAGAGAAAACCCAGTCCGAGTAAAAAGTAGATATAGAGCAAGCCAAAAAACCCACTTCCGCCCATGTAGCCAATAATAAACAAAATACTTGCTAAGTGATAGATAGATCCTTCTGCTTCTGACTTCCAGTTTACACAGACAGGATGTGCAAATATCAAGCTGTCCCAAATGCTTGTGTTGTCTCCTGTAGCTGCAATGTTAGATTGATCATCCATCTCTGTGATCTCCAAAACCTTTCTTGTATAAATAAAGTTCAAACAGAAAAAGGCTCCATCATTTTCCCAATGTTGCCTTCGTTGTTATGCTTACTATCATAATGTCACGCATTGCCTGAGTTGAAAACCTATAGTAATAAATTGTTCATTGATTTTTAAAAAATGGGCTTCTCAGAAGTCTGTACTTTTCCAGATCTGTTCTTATGGCATATTTTGCTTGGATCCATAACAGTACTGATCTGTCCAAGAGAGATAAAAAAGAGGGAATGTATGAGAACAAAAAAGAACATTTACACAACTATTTATAAAATTACGAACGGTGGGCAACTATAAGAAAATATGGGGCAACACAAGGTCCCATAGGACCTTGGGGACGATACCTTTCTTCAAGGTTTCCAATCCCAATTTGGCCATGTTGTTTGAGGCATTTTAGAATCAGAAGGGCCTGGAATGTCCCCTGTATTTGAGGCCCTTTCCACACAGCTAAATAAAATTTCTGCTTTGAACTGGAATATATGGCAGTGTGGACTCAGATAACGCAATTCAAAGCAGACATCATGGGTTTTTCTGCCTTGATATTCTGGGTTATTGGGCTGTGTGGACCTGAACCAGTGCCTGTTAGCTATGATGGACTGGGACGAACAAACTGAAACTGAATCCTGACAAGACAGTGGTACTCCTGGTTAGTTGTAAGACAGATCAGGGTATAGGGCTACAACCTGTGCCAGACGGGGTTGCACTCCCCTTCAAGACGCAAGTCCGCAGCTTGGGGGACCTCCTGGATTCAACGCTGACCCTGGAGGCCCAGGTGTCGACGGTGGCCAGGAGGGCCTTTGCACAGTTAAAGTTTGTGCGCCAGATGCCCATACCTTGAAAAATCTGATCTGGCTATGGTGGTACATTCCTTGATTACATCCCGTTTAGACTACTTCAACACGCTCTATGTAGGGCTGCCTCAGAACAGTGTTCAGAAGCTCCAGCTGGTTCAAAGGTCAGCAGCCAGATTGCTAATAGGGGCTGGCTACCCCACTACTAAAACAGCTACCCATCAGCTTTTGGGTGCAATTCTTTTATTAATAAGATTATAATGTACCAAAGTCAACTTGGAGGCACATACACCCACGCACAGTAACAGAGAACAACATCTATGCAAATGGCATGGCATACTATAAAAGTAAAAATTACCATTTGTCAGTTGAGATGTTGCCATTTAAAATATCCCAGAAACACCATTTTTACACGTCAGTGCTTTTATGTGTCAAAAAAAGGGCAACCCACTTCCAGTTACTGTGTTCCAGAGGGATTCAACAGAGCTTATTTTCCAGAAGCCATTCAAGCCAACACTTGCTATTTGTATGCTAAAAAAATGCAGTACTTCAAAAGTGCCATCATAGCAGTGAATAAGCACAGCAACTCAAAGGGGCATGAAAAACATCAGTATTTCACTTTTCAGGTGATACGACTGAATTCTTTTATTGGTTTCTCAAAGAGACTGTTCATAGCATAACTGAAGAAGCTACTGCTGGGAGTATGTTTGCACTGTGTCTCTGTGCAAGGAAGAGCTTAACTTCGGTTCTCCTTCATTTCAGAACATTGCATGGGATGCAATGAAATAAAACGACAATGAATAAAAACATCTAAGCTATGATAGTTCAAGCACAAGAGTATGATAATATTAAAAAGATAATAGACACAATTGTTAATACTAGCAAACTTTAAATCCCTATATTCATCTCCTGCTTGTTTGTATGTTTGCAGATTTCTTGTTTGCTTGCTCATTCTTCCTATGTCATTCTCACCTGCTATGATTTCTGTTTCCTCTAACATGTGTTTGACTATAGGAAAGAAACTTTGGAAACAAAGCTACTTTTTGGGTGTTTTCCAAAAACTAGTAAGCTTATTTCTTTTCTCTGCTTGATACTGGGTTTTGGGGGGGGGGGGGGAAGGGTGAGGGACACATGACTGGCTTTTGGTCAGATTCTACTTTGCCAATTCATTACTCTGCTTCAAAGATCCAGTACTATTTCTCACATTTCCCAAGAAGAACATCAAATGACTTATTTGTAGAAAACCCACAATTTAATAAAAAAGATACCTCATAAAATAAAGCAGAGTAATAGGCCAGTCAATATATAAAAGTGATGTGAAGGTGCATAAGCATACAAAAACAAATCTGATTATTCCTTAAAATTAAGAGATATAAATGGATTTCCCACTTGACCATCATTATCTGGATAGGCACATCCCCTCCTGTCTTGTCTCGCGGAGAGAAACAAACAATGAGCAATTTGTTTCAACAAAGGGTGGAGATGGAGTAAGGGTTTACAGCCCTCTGTTTCCACTCTGCCCCTTCCAAATTCATTTCTCTTGGTCAAAGAACCAAGTGCTTAACTTGCACATGGGCAATCATTCTTCACATCTTCTCTGTGACTATGTTGGTGAAACCAGAAGGAAAAAAGCATGAGTGCAGTGCCACGAAGGAAGCAAGGAACCAGAGAAACAAGCTGCTCAGAACAAGCAGAGGTTATCTACCTTCTCTCCTCATAGCCTAGTGAACTTTGAAAAAAAAATCTACTAATATAGAGTGCCAACAAGATTCTGGCCTGCAATAGGTAATTCTTTTCTATACATATTATTATATTGTATAGTTTATGGCTAGACAGTATAGTGGGTCTTTGGTATCCACTGGGGTTTGGTTCCAGGGCCCTCTGTCGATACCAAAATCCCATTGTATACAATAGTGTAGAAAAATGATGCCCCTTATACAAAATAGCAAATTGAAGTTCAGTCTTTTGGGAGTTCAGACAAATATACCATATTTACTCAAGTCTAATGCTCAACTATTTTTTGGCTAAATTACATTGCCAAATATGGGGCATTAGATTCGATGGGATGTTAGACTAGAACAAATAAACCCATTGTGTGGAAAGACCTAGAGGAACCTGGAACCATAGGTGGTGTGTATGTGTGTGTGTCAGGAGGCTGTTCTCAGTAATGACAGAGGTCCCAGGGCTTTGTGGTGCCTGGAGGAGGGGCCTGGACCCAGCTGGTGACCTAGTCATTCCTGCCACTTAGCCACAGATCCTGCCTCTCAGGTGGCCCTTAGGGTCTCCCACCCCGGCTCAGTTCTATGTAGTTCCCAACTGGCCTCATTCACGAGGCCTTCAAAACCTTCACCTCAGTTTTGAAGGTCTTGTGAATGAGGTTAATTGGGAATTGTGTGAGGCTGGCATGTTGCAAGCCTCAGCCAGACAGAGGGGCATGGCTTACCAAATGGCTTCCATTCATGCCTCCCTGCCATGCTGTACCTGTGCTGTTGAACATTAATGGGCAAATCTATTTTTTGCCCAAGGTGTGCATTACAGGCACCTTATACTTGAGTAAATGATCATTGAAACCATGGATATAGAATTAGTGGATATGGAGGGCCAACTGGGTGTGAAGGCCTGGGGAAAAAAAAACCCATTAGCAATCAGATGAAAAAATGTCTCCCTCATTTTTTTTTCTCTGAAGATATTTTTCCCCAGGATAGCTGAAAAATAGATCATGGCAATGTCCTTTTAAAAATGATGAATCAAGAGAAGATGTTCTTGTATTTTCTACTATGGGTTATTTCTAAAACAAAAGCAAAGGTAAGTAGCAGGTAGAGTTCTAGGTAAGATTATGTACAATATATCACATCATTTGAATTCCTGGTTTTCCCCAACTCCCAGGATTCCACAGCATTGCGCCATAACAATCAAAGCGGTGGCAAACTGTATTAATTCGACACTGTAGATGCCCCTTCAGTGATTTTTATGAGAATGCTTTGGACCTGCTTGTCACAATAGAGAATTAGAGAACAAATAATTTACTCTGTTTTATTGATATTTATGAGGGGTTTTTTTCTATTTTTCTTAAAAACAAAATTCAATTTGTACTGACTTTCTAAATAAACAACCTTTTAAATATATCAAACATAACAATTTTATACCAAACCAAGTTTTATACAAAACAGTTGTTATCTAGTTCAACATTTATGAGATCATAACTGGATTTACAATCTCATAACTTTTGGGACCCATGCTTATGGTCATTACTAATTAAAAATGACCACCAACACCTACCTCAAGAGTCTGGCAGTGGCTCAACCAAAGGATTTCTAAGGCACTACAGATATAGGTGCCGAGCAATAACAACTGTACAACTGTAGTGCTCTTCCACTAGTGAGCACAGGGAAACCAGCATTTGTGGCAAGATCCTGAGGGCTCTCTCCAGCTCCTACTTGATTGAGAGAATAATGTGTGTGTCCTTTCCCAGTTCCTTGATCTGCACCACCCAGAAACCTTTCAGTAGGAACACTGCTAGGGGTAGGTGTTGTACAGGTGAAATCAGCAGAAGCAACTACAGTGATGGAGCTCTGTCATTGTAACTGTGTCTGATGATGCAGAATCTTGGCCAACATCTTTTATGTTCTTAAAATAACAAAGAGATTTTCACACTCTAAAGCAGTGGTTATCAACCTGTGGGTCCCCAGATGTTTTGGCCATCAACTCCCAGAAATTCTAACAGCTGGTAAACTGGTTGGGATTTCTGGGAATTGTAGGTCAAAACACCTGAGGGCCCACAGGTTGAGAACCACTGATTTTAGAGTGTGAAAATGACTTTGTAAAGGGTGCTCACTATTGCTTTTTCCATGCTAGATATCTTACAATGGAGTGCCATCAATTCAGATACTTCCTCTACAGCTGGAGTAGTAATGATGTGGTCCTCTAGATCTTATTAGACTTCAATGTCTACCATTACTATGCTGGCATTGCTGCTGAAGCTTGCAGCTCAACAAAATCTGAAGGCCACTTAATTCTCATCCTTGTTATAGCCATTTCCACTATTACAACATGAACTTCTCATCCTTGCTCTTTGAGTCCTTTAGTATCTTCAGAAACCATATGTTATTCTCATTCACAGTTTTCCATGCTCTCTTGCGATTATATTTTTTTTTGGGGGGGGGGGTTTGAGGAGTGTGCTGATCTATTTAATGTTCAATTCCAAGAAACCAAACCTAATTTATGAAAATGAATTGAGCCAACTGATTTAGTAAGGCTCAATAGTAATTTATATGGTAATCAACAGTGAAAGTGTAAGTAGAGATGCTCCCAGTGCCTTTCAAATAGGCTGCCCAAACATTTATATTGTTGCCCCTCAGTTTGGAGAAACTGTTGTGTCGTGACAGTACCTTTTCCACTATTTTATAGATTTG